AAAAAAAAAAAAAAAAAAAAAAAAAAAAAAAGTATATAACAATAATAGTCATCAACATATTCCTAAAAAGCAGCCATGACGAAAAGGAAGAGGGAAGAAAAGGGGTAAAGAGGAAGTTAGAAGATTGAGATGGAGGTGAGAACTCAAAGTCTCAAAGTAGTCTAATTTAGCTGGGCGTGGTGGCGCACACCTGCAATCCTAGCACTCGGGAGGCTGAAGCAGGAGGGTCGTTGTGAGTTCGAGACCAGCCTGGACTACAAAGTGAGCTCAAGGCCAGCCTGAACTGCATAGTGAGACCCTGTCTCAAAAAGACAAAAAAAAAAGTAGACTAATTTAGAGGATGTGATAAGTTACTCTGATTCTACTGAGTACTCTATAGTCCCCGAGGCCAGTGATGTTGAACCTTTTAGAGCTTTCAATGATGCGAACAGCCCACGGCAGCACAAGTGCCATGGGTTTGCCACCACTGTCCTAGGTCAATGGGTCCTAAGAATCTAGATACACATCAACCATTTCATGAATGAATTTTCACTCATTTATGATGAAATGATAAAAATGATGTAGCACATTTTTCATAAGGCTAAATTTATTCAACTTGTGCGTCCTTATTATGAAATTTCTTTTTTCTTTTTTTGGTTTTATGAAACAGTCTCACTATGCAGTCCAGGCTGGTCTCTGGTCTTGAACTCCCACATAACCCACGCTAGTCTCAAACCTATAATTCTCCTGCCTCAGCCTCCCAAATACTGGGATTACAGGTATATGCCAATACTCCCAGCTCTAACTTTTTGATCTGCATTTTCTCTGGTAGAATACAATAAAATATATAGTTGAAGCTGTACGCAGGGATGAATGCCTATAATTCCAGTACAAAGAAGGCAGAGGTGGAAAGATCACCATTTTTTTTTTTTTTGGTACCAGGAATCGAACTCAGGGCCTTGCACTTGCCAGGCAGGCGCTTACGCCATTGAGTTATATCCCGGCCTTCGGAAGATCACAGTTTTGAGGCCACTTAGGCAACTGAGCAAGACTCTTGTCTCCAAACAAAAAAAAGGCACTGGCGAGGATGTAGCTCAGTGTAAGGCCCTGGGTTCAATTCACAGTACTGCAAAAACACACAAACAAAAACTCACATGGTTGCACTCTATTTCTACAAAACAAAGTAAAATTCTGGGCAGAAAACGGTCTACAAGGACACACACTTGCCTATTAACAGTCGTTATTTTTAGCCCAGTGCTGAAAGCTCAAGCCCAGCCTGGGCAATTTAGTAAGACCCTGTTTTGTTTTTTGTTCTTTTTCCCCACAACCCCTGGCGATGTTTATTGACCATGTGTTTGCCAGCCTGGTGTTTGCCCACGGTTCTCTCCAAGCCCGGGACATGGTCACCCCATTCAAGGGTGCAGAGACACCCAGCAGGCAGCCTGCCCAGCACTGGGGCGCGTGGCCACGGCACTACACCAATTTCACAGCGCAGTGGAAACACGACTGCAGTGAGACGGCGCAAGGTCCAGTTC